TGATTATGCTAAACATTTAAGTCTTCATCTGATATTAAGTCTATGGTTTTTTTGGAATGACAAATCTATTCTACTCCTACATTACACCTAATTCTCCACATATGTCCCTCACGGGACTTGAACCCTTGACCTCAAGGATGGAGGACAACACCGAATACCATTGGGCTAGATATGAGATATATTTGAGATCTTCCTTTTTGACTTTTTGTTTGTCAAAGATAAATTGATAGAATTATCTCGAGTGATTGTTGATGAAGATGTAGCTGTCATATCATTAGACAATATAGAATACTGTCTATTTCATGAAACTGAAAGTATAAATGTTAGTATTGAATTTTGAAATAAAAAGGATAAAAGTATCATTTAAATTGTATACAATGCATACATATTATTTTATGTAACTTATATAGTAGGAAATCTGATGTGAAAAGAAATTAGATATACCATTGCTAATGTTAGATAACAGAGTTCTTGTCGTATAATTGGAAGTAGATTTGAAACATTGTTGAGCACACTCCATATACGCTATGAAATAAAAATGTTTTAATTATTACAAAAAAAAAACCCATAATAAACAAAGGTATATATTATTACACAATTAATTATACATTAGATGGATGAAAGATAAATTATATAATATATAGCATATTACCCTTTGGTGTGGTGCAAGTTTGAATGGATCTTCTACTATCCAAATAATCTTTTCTTAGCTATCGCTTATCTTTATAAGTGTTTGGGTTGACATTTTGATTGTCACCGGCAACATTATTAAACTTGCTTGATGACAACATTTGACTTTTGCTACTATCATTAGTAAGCACCGAGAAAAAAATATATGAAAAAGTTATTATAACCCTCAAAATATTTATAACTTAACATATGAAGAAAAAAATATATACATACTTATATCATCAAAAACGAAATATAAAAAATTTATTTAAATAAAATATTAAAAAATCAAAACAATGTTGATCGTGATGACCATTACTTGTGAAATACTAAGAGTGTTATAAGGAAATATGCATTATTTATGTCGCAAAAGGTTAACACAAAAGAAAAGCTAATCAACAAAATTAAAAATATTATGTAAAAACAATACTATGGTAGCAAACTAATTATAAATGCATGATAGAATATATATATATATATATATATATATATATATATATATATATATATATATATATATATATATATCATTTGGCGTGGTAGTTATATTTTATATTTTTTGTTATCTAAATATAACTTTCTAAGTTTTCTTTTATCTTTAGCAACATTGGGTAATGAACTTGTAATATTAAAAGCCAATGTAAATTGAAAACTTGTCTACTGATATCCACTAGAGATATTTGAATTTATATTTTCATTTTTACGTGCAAGATATATAGAATAATTTGAAGTGGTTAAATGTTGGTAACGATAAATGATTGGTGAAAACGATATATAAAGGATTTATTTTAAAATACTAATAAAAAAATCAAATCAATGTTGATCATGAGGACTAAAGCATATGAAATCTTAAGAGTATTATAAAAAACATTGCATTGTTTATGTTGCAAAAGTTTTACAAAAGAAACTAATCATCAAAATTAACAGGAATATGTAAAAACACTATTATTATAGCATTAAAATGCATGATAGGAAAAGATATAGTCTGCGGCTTCTTCATGGCTATATCATTAGATTTTCTGTTATCCACGTATGACTTTCTAAGTTTTCTTTTGTCTTTAGCATCATTTAAACTTGTAGCATTAAAGTTAGATTGAGAACTTATATGATGATATCCACCTAAAATATTTGGATTTATATTTTCTTTGTTACCAGCAAGATATATTATATATGATAAAGTAATTACATGTTGATAAGGAAAAACAACATTTAATATATAATACTCTACTGGGTTAATAATATAATGTATTCATTATGTGAAATACAAATTTAAATAATATAAATCAATATTTTTATAAAATAAGTTAAATAAAAAAGTAATGATAATAAAACAAAATTGACACATTGAGAAAGAATTACCAATTGAAGTGATGGACATGATATTGGATTTTTTTATCTAAATTTAACTTTTTTTTTTTGGTACCGGTCTTTAGAATCATTTGAATGCATACGATATTTATATCATAAAAAACAATAGAACATGTAATAAAACTATAATAAACTAATGTTATATAAATTGTTAGTATATATTATGAATTAGTAAAATTGACACATTATAAAAATACGTACGAGTAAAAAAATTGTTAACGTAACACAATTTGAAGTTTATATTTAATAAGGATAAATTGATCGTGGACTTATTATAATAAATTCATATTTATATATTTAAATTTAATATACATTATTGGATTGGGTAAAAAACGATGGAAAAATAAGAAAAATATAATTGCTATTATAGAAAAAAAAAAAAAAAAAAAAAAAAAAAAAAAAAAAAAAAGTTGTTAAACCTAAAATATATGTGATTCATGAGTATATATATATATAAATAAACGTCTCAACTATTTATTTTGGGTTTACCATTTGTGTTTTAGACCTATGGAATTGTCATCAAAAGGCTATAGAGAATGTGATTATTTAATAATTATAATATTTATTTAGTTTAAAAGATACATTTTCGTGATCATTCAAATTGATTAATAATATAATGTATTGATTACGTGAAATACATATTTTCGTCAGTGGCGAATCTAGAACCAAAACTAAAGTGGTTCCTTATATCAATAAATCGGAAAAATTATGGAAATATAAGTTTTTTTGGCAAAAATAAGGTAGTTTCTTATGTTTTTTTGTATATAATTGTTGTATTAAAAAAGAAAAAAGGTAGGTCCTAGGACCTACCTTAGCAATGGGTAGCTACGCCCCTCATTTTCGTGATATATGTTTGTGGTCTGTTTTATTGGTTGTAATTTGCTCTTTGTATTCTTTTATTTTTTTTAATAAAGTTTGACAGAGACTTTTGTCTCTTTCCAAAAATAAAAACATGATCTCAAACATATTGAATATTTTTGTTTTTATTCAATTGTAATGGTTTTATTATTTTTTATCTCGTCGAGCCTCTACATTTATGTTTGATGTCAATCCATAGTTAACGATAATTCTAGTTCAGTTCCTGTTAAACCTAAAAGCCACTTTAGTTTGTTATGTATATATAATTGGCGACTTCTATATCCATAATCTTGGTCTAACATAAGATTATATGACTATTTAATGAATGAATTATATGTTAAATCTTATTTTATCCTGTGAATTTCTCAATTTGTTGCTACAATCTGATAATCTTGTTGTATAGGTTCCTTTTATCCTTGTTGATAGAGGAAAGTGGTACAATCTGATTATCTAACAGTAAAATTGGATGGGTCAAAGCATCCTTTAGCTGTTACAACTTACAACTGTATACCACAATCTGTATCCTATAAATGCTTCTCCTTATACTTTCCTCTAAGCATTTTTCGGTTCAGAAAAAACAGAAACAATTTCATAACAAAAGGACCAAAATGCCCCTTCCCAGATAGGGTTCTATTTTAGAGGTCTAATCCGTAAATGGGGTTCTATTCCAAAGCAAAGAGGTAAGTTTCCTTGAAGTGTACACTTTGCTTTGAGTATTATGGTTTCTTTGATGTTTTGAAATGAACGAAAAAGTCAAATTAGTGATGAACTTGAACACAAGATAGGAACGATAGAAAGTTGACTAAACAGGTTTAGGTTGATGCTGGAATCTCTTCAAACAAATGTAATGCATGTCAATAAAGGATCAAAAATTGTAGATCTATCTCATAAAAAAATATGTCCTGTTTGAAAAAAATTGTATATTCTAATTTCTTGTATTGCCATCATAACTAATATTTTCACATTTATCTCTATATTTTTGTTTACATTTAGTGGAAAGCACATGACAACTCCTTGCAGACAATCGACAACTCCCTACAGATGATTCTGAACTCCCTGTAGATAATTGTGAAAATACCTTATATTCTCATTGGTTTAGTGTCTTGAGTTATATTTTATAACTGAATTAAATTACTATAACAAGAGCAAAGGACAACAAGATTCAAAATCTAGCCTCCCTCAATGTAATTTTTTTGTGTCAAGTGTTATCTCGAAAAATTTTATGTATGAAAATATTAATTTTTGGTTTGGTTTATACTTTTTACTGAATTAGTGGGTTGAGATGTATCAATTATCATATACACATACCATGTTATCAGAAACGTCATTAAACCTTAATAAAGACTGTGAGTTGAGGTGTTGTACTATTTCTGGAAAAAAGAAAGATCTTACTTTTTCCACATGAGGGTTTCAGCTTTGGAGATTAAGGATAATTTTTTATAAATACAAATACCAATGTAGTTCTAATTTATGAAAAGCTTCTTTAGACAGTTATTTGAAGAAAACCATTTTACTACCATTTTATAAAAACATGTTTATGATTAAATGGAACTTAAAAACTAATACCCCTACATAGTACATATAATGAACGTTTTAGGGTCTTAAACTTTTGATAATAGGGATTCACCATTAAACTTTAGATATTGGAGTTGGGCCCTACCTTTTTTAGTTATGTTTTCTGTTTGCACAAGAAAACAAACATGAAACATGGTAATAATGTCTTTTAAAAGATAAAACCAAACCCATCATCACGAGGAACTAAGCACATTTATCTTTCAGTTATATACAATTTTAACGTATAAGTTTGATTATTAGATGAAAATGACAAATATTGAGAATTGGAATTATTAATAATTAAACAACCATACACACAAAGACATGCACCATATTTATCATACACACAATAACAATTTAAAACTAAATAAATGGCAACATTTACTAACGAAATCAAAATCCATACTTAACATAAAACGAAAGAAAACAGAATTTATGAAACCAACAACGAAAGTATTCTTGACAAACCAAAAAACCTCAAAATTGTTGTTGGATTGGAATGTTAAATAAAAAACAAAAAATGAAAAATTGTTTGAAATGTTAATAAGATCTCACTTCTCAGCTTTAGGAATCAATAGTTGTGTGGACACAACACTTTCCTTGATTCCAATGGATTTTTTTGAAGGTTTTATTGATGACTCACAAACAGTATCTTCAAGATCGTAAACATCTACAAGTTTACATTTCACATTGGTGGTTGGTGAAAGGAGGCTAGTGGTGTCATGGTTGGTTGATGGACTCATTGAAATGGTACTTGGAAAAGTAGAGATAGGAGTATTATCAACAACGAAGGAAGCAGAATCCTTAAATGCAAGAATTAACACATGTTAAAGATTGACATAGGAGTCATGTAAAACATCGAAAAGAAAAAAAAATCAGGAAATTATACCTTAAAACCAATTGTATCCTGAGAGTTGAAATCTGAGATCACGGCATTAAAAAGTTTCAGTGTCCTATATAACAGTTTGTAAATTCTATTTTAGATTGGTAAATATCAACTATATAAAACATAATATGTAAACGGATTAAGATTTAGTTGTAGTTAAACGTGTTCAATGTGGTTTGCTTTTTCAAGTTTCTCGAGCGCACAAATTATGTCAACATTATCACTTATCTTTGATATGTTGTAACTACGGATGTATTTTCTTCCAGAGGTAAAGCCTTTAAATATAATTTTGAAATCCATTTTTCTAACAATAAGTTCATTAATCTCAACAGGAAAACCAACACTCTTACCCATCTAATAAAAAAAATGTAAATTAAACAAAAGTTAGAATTAAAATGTAGAAATGATTAGAATAAATTATGAATTTCAAATAATGGATTTTATAATATATACATTTTCATACTTTTATATCAAATCTGATGCAGAAATGTTTAGAATACTTCTAACATCCCGGTCAAACAGAGTAAGTGTCACTACTTCCACCAAGCCTTGAACTCGAATTTGAGCATAAAACTAAGGTATTTAACAAACAAATAAAAAAATACAAATTAGATAAATACAATAATGAAAGAATATCAAAATTTCTTATTATACCTTGGTTCATCAACTATGACTTGTTCTTTGCACTTGTCCTGATTCATTCTCAGCCACACTGTCCAAAACATTGGATTGTTCAAGGGGAATTTTTTAAACCTTTCTCTTACAGTTCTTGCAAGCTGGGTAGTATCATTGCTGATTATCTTCAAACATCTTAATTGTTCCAAGAATGATGTCATAACTCCCCTATAGTAATAAGCAATGATGGTGAATTAGGAAAATTAAGTATTACTAATTTAAGATTTTAATAATGTAAATATACCTCATCTAATTCGTGGATCATGGAAATTTGGTAGAAATTATTATTTTTCAGAAAGTCATCATGTACAGTATACATGATGGAAGATGTTGTAGCATGAGAACAGGAAGAAGTCGATCCACTTTATTTTTCATTAAACTTGTTTACAAATAAAGTGTAAGTATAATATCAATAAAAATATATTTAGTTTAATAGTAATATATAAAGGACTTGATTGAAATGTAATCAAACTTTTTTTGAAGTCAATAATTTCTTCAACTTGCTCATCAATGAATAGCTTTGTTGCTAAATATGTGTTATTCACATATACACGCCCTGAAAAGAAAATGAAAAAAAATATTGGATTAAATTATTTCTTATATAAACATTGAAAATGGTAAAGATAAAACATTGTATTAATAAAAGGACCTCAGTGATTCTTCCACTTAGCACATTGAATAATCATTACAAGATTCCCCCAATGTTTGGATACATAAGAATCAATTTGTTCAGCGTAATTTCCCTACAAAGTAGCAAACACTTGTTGTCCCCTAAATGTATATGAATTTAAACAACAATTTTAAAACTAATAATACATTATTCTTAAAAGAAACATACTCTAAATCTTCCAATTTAAATTTAATCCTTTTATCAAGTTTTTGGGTTGCAGGTTCCAGTGGATAGCATTGAAAAACATTACCGATGACATCTATAATATACACGATGTAAGATGTTAGTATAGAATTAGTGTTAGGATGGACAAACTATATACAAAAATTATAAGATGTAAAATGTGAAATCAATGTTATGACTTACCAAAAGAAATAGTTGAAGGGATTGCCTTATCGATAAGATCTTGGAAGTTTGCAAAAGCGAAAGAATTCAAGGACCCATTAAAACCAATGCACTTGATTACTCTAGTGGTATATTGAAAAAACAATTTGTTTTGACTGTCAACGAACTTTATAACATCATCAACATATAAACCAAGTGTTGGATTATGAATGTAAACATCAATATATTCTTCAAGTGCTTTTCCCAGTATCACATATGTTTTGTCCACAATGCATTCAATTTTATTGCCCATCAAAAAAATGATTAAATAAATAACTAATAAACAACTATATGTTTAACATAATAGTGTATAACTAATAATATGATAATATGAAATCATTAAATATCATTAAAGCAATTAAGTTTAAATACCTCTTCATCCATTAAAATAATTCTGATTTTTCGTGTCTCGTGTGGTTTCGACCAAGTTGTTTGTTTCCAAAGTCGGATAATTTGGACCTTAATTGTGTAGTTATCATTTGAGAAACCTAGATCATTAATCATTGTAATTTCTATTGGATCCATGAGTTATAAGAGAAAAATAAAGCTTTGATTATAAAATGCACAAAATTGAGAATGATAAGCAAATCAAAGAGAATAATAAGCAAAGTAATCAGGTGAACTTTACACATCTATATCCGCATTAGATACACGAAAAAGGTTAATTAATAGTTTAAGCTTTACAAATTTTAAATGTTCTTTCGAATATATGTCAAGAAATATAATACATTATACCATTAAAATTAATAATAATAATTAAAAAGGTTAATTAATTTGTAACTATTTGAAAGTATTAAGTATAGTCTAAAAGAACCATTTCATGTGCAAACAGGAAGTGTTAAATCAATTCAGCAGTTATATGAATTAAAAAAATAACATTGTTTGATAATAAAAGGATGAAAATACCCCTTCCAAGATTTCAAACATTGTTTTTTTATTTCAACTCTAATCGAATGGCAAAATAGTCATTTTAAGAAATACAGACTGTTAACTTAGACAAACCTAAGAATCAAAAGCTTATGAAATACTAAAATAAGGATCAAATTTGCAACCAAATTCCTTTAATGTCCAAAAACAAAAATAAATAAATAAATAAATAAAAATAAGATAGATATTAGTTGTAAAGATGTGCAAAAGTGAGGGAAAAAAATTTAAAAAGTTTTTTAAAGAAAAAAACTTTTATTTAATGTTCAGAAATAGCAGAAACAATGAAAGTAATAAGTGTATAGTCTAAAAGAACAATTTCATATGCAAACCGGAAGTGTTAAATGAATTCAAATGTTATATGGCTTTGCACCATATTTCACAATGAAACCTGCAGCAAGAAAAATATTTCGGTATACCCTTGCAGGGAAAGCTACTGCAATATTGTAGTTTTTTTTTTTCATTTTTTTCTCCGAAAATAGCAAATCATAATATACACATATACATAGATAAAATGACAGTTTCATACAGATATTGCATAATTGAACAGTGGGCGGTTAAGAAAACTTAAAGTTTGTAATGAATTAAGTGGCCACAATCTGATTATCTAACAGTAAAATCAGATGGGTCAAAGCACCATTTAGCTGTTACAACTGTATACCACAATCTGCAACCTATAAATGCTTCTCCTTATACTTTCCTCCAAGCATTTTTCGGTTCAGAAAAAACAGAAACAATTTCATAATAAGATGATCAAAATGCCCCTTCCTATATTTTCCCTGTTCAAAATTACAGTCGCATGAAAAAAAATAAAGTTTCAATTGGGTTTCTTTGATGGACATTATGTGGGAGTACTTAACCAACTGAAATAATGGTAGAAGCTCTAGAAATTAAAAAAAAAAAAAACATTTCGGTATACCTACAAAGGGAAAAAAAATTAGTTTATTTGTTTCTTTTAGTTTGATTTCTTTTGCTATAAAATGGGAAGACGTTGATAGTAAGATGCTATAAAATTGTTTTATACACAAAAACAAAAACACACAAATAAGAAAAATATTAGTTTGTAAAAAAAAAAGAGTAAATTACACGAATGGTCCCTATGGTTTAGGGTAATTTGCACGTTTGGTCCCTAACTTATTTTTTTAACTCGGAAGGTCCCTACTGTTTGCTTTTGTTACGCGCTTGGTCCCTGTCTTACATAAAAAGTCTATTTTTCCATTTATTTTTTAATTTATTTAAATAAACACACCCCTAATCCCACCCTTCTCACCTTACCTTACGTACCACATTATTTTTTCATATTTAAATAATAGTCTTTTTAGGTATGACAGGGACCAAGCGCGTAAAAAAACAAACAATAGGGACCAGACACGTAATAAAAACAATCAGTAGGGACCTTCCGAGTTAAAAAAATAAATTAGGGATCAAACGCGCAAATTACCCCAAACCATAGGGACCATTCATGTAATTTACTCAAAAAAAAATGTGGGGCGCCGGCTGATTACCAGCTGATTAGGGTAATTCTTTTTCAAACACTTTGTTGTCATTCTTATTAGTTTACTTATGGCTTTTGAATTATCTAACTCAATTTTGCGGTAGAGAATTCAATTAGGATTATTCTCAATTTCACTTAGAACCGTAGTTTCATCAAACCTTGACAAAATTACAAAAATATCCCTATGGTTTACTAAAAGTAACAAAATCAGTCCCTGCTAATTTTTTTTGATGCAAATGACCCTTGTTTGCAAAACTTGCATAGATAGCCCTTTTTACTAACGCCGTTACTATTCTGTAAAGGCATTTTCATCTTTTCAAGTATAAAGGGACTGAATTCATGATATTTACTAAACCACATGGACCATTTTTGAAATTTCTTTAAAAAAAACAATTAAATTGCTAAGGAGAGGACTCAAACTCATGACCTCCACCCCTTAAACTGTCAAAGCCTTAACCAGTTAAGCTGAATGCTCTCTTGATTTATTCTTTCCTAAAACTAATTTATATATTAACAAAATCGTTAAAACATAAACAACAAATAAATTATAAAAAATATTTTTTTACATAATTTTTTTTAAATAAAACAAAATATATTTTAGTCCTACTATAAAAAATAGTTTTTTACAAACAAATTGTATGTATTTTTATGTATTTATTTTATGCAAAATATATATTTTTTGTCTTTAAAAAATACGTTTTCGTATAAAAAATACGTTTTTGTAAAAAATATTTTTTTCATGCCTTTTAAATAGTAATAATTAATACTACTCATGACATAAAAAATATATAAATTCTTTTGGGTCATTAGTTCTAACCGTTTTTTCGGTTATATGTATTAAAAACAAATTAACAACGATTTTGTTATGTATCTAAACAATTTATACGGTTTTTTTATGTCAAGAGTAGTGTTAATAATTGTTACTTCTAGAAGATATATCACTATGTTTTTCCATCTTCATTTTAACCATACGATTTAGAACTTGTGATTAAGATGAAATACGTATTTTAAATAAGATATATAACCAATATGTTTTTTATGTTTTTTTAAATACATATAAAAAACTATACGTGTCTTAAATAAGATATATATACATATTCGGTTATATGTGTTAGAACAAAGTTCTTTTAGGATCGTATGATTCTAAGCAAGATAAAAATAAGAACGTAATAAAAACACAAGTAATGCGCTGAATATGTCGAATGATTAATGCAATAACACCTCAGAAGAGCTCGATAAAGAACTTCAATATGTAGAGGCGTTTAGGGTTACAAAAATCAACGTAATGAAAACTTGTCAATATACACATACATACATGCATATATATACTATAACCCTAACAATCAATCTAGATAACTACGTAACTAATCTAGATAGACACGGATGGACAGGCCCAATCCGAATTACAAAATACTTAGCCCAAGACGCAACACAAATATACTCAACAGTCTCCCCCTTTGCGTCCTTGGAGCAGAAACTTCATTCCTTTTTAACAACAGAAGGCTTCTTCACTGTTTTAAATACCTTCGGTATAATGGCCAGAATATGATGTCGAAACGTAATATACCAGCGAAGCATGTCTGTGAAGTTCTTCTTGTCAACCACTGAGTTCTGCTTGCATCGATGTATGATATTAATAATATGCTCCAAGCAATCTGTTGAAAACAGATGCTTATCGACCAAAACAA